GGTCCAGTCTCACGGGGCTTTTAGTGACCCGAGTACGAGTACGACCATGGGCCGTAACAAATATCATTATTATCATCATCACTATCATCAGTACTGTCATCAAAATTAACCCTCCTTTCTCACTATCAAAGCTTTTAAAGTTATGATTAAGTCCTTAGCTTCTATGTACGCAAGATTTAAACCAACGTTAGCAGTTCAGAAGCAGTGAAAATGATCAGTAATAATTGGTTTGTTGGCTCTGCAGTTACGCTGCAATCAGAATGACATACTTGACTACAGGTTGTCCACCGTTCTATCATCAGAAGTGATCATATGCAAATTCCCATCAAGTTGGCGGCAAATCTTTAGAGAGCTTCTTTGATTTACATCAAGGATGGAATTTCTTAGGATAGAAATTTCTTACGATTGCGGTGTCTTTAAAGGATATAGAACGAGGAATACAATGTCTGAAGAAAGCTTTTCTTCTATTAAGCCACATTCCAAGCTGGTTGAGAATATGCTTGTTTGAGTCGAAAGACCAAATAGTTTTCAGTACGGAACCTGAAGCTTTCCGTGGAGTAGGCAGTGTTACTAATCTCAAATTATATTTTAATTCCTTTTGTAAAAACTCATTTTCATAGTCCTTACAATTCCCTGGTAAAAGAAAAATAAACTTGAACCAAGGAGAATTTTGGCTCATTTTGTTCTTTTGCTATTCTGCTGGGGAAATTGAAGCTGAATAATAATATCAACTTTCATGGAGCCAAAACCTGCACTACAATCAAACAGAGTAATCCTGCTGCTCCAAGTATTTCTTACGTCATCAATCCCGATAGTAGTGAAGGTCTGGCCCACTTTGTTGTCTCTTGTAACATGACAGACAAGAATGGAGTTGGTGTGACAGTTGTCAGTCACGCTAGTGCAAACAGAATGCTAGTTGACTGCTATGAGCCAGCTGGATGTTACTTGCGCAATATAAGCTACCTCTCAGGAAGTGTATAGTAACGAGTGTTCAACAACTGGCCAAACTGGACGATATATCCGCACACTGCGAGCACTTTATCAAGCACGAATGTCTTGACTCACAGCTCCTCAATGGTCCAGGCAGCACAGGTTATATGCGTGATTGGTGGGTATCACACGACGGCAGGGCGATGACATATTGGTGAGGGGGAATTATACTCCTTGTGCGGGTTAAATCGATCACGCGCAGATCCACGCTATGGATGCAATTGTGACATAAATGATTATGTCTGGCGGGAGAACAGAGAACTGCTTTCAAATAAGACTGAACTTCCTGTGATTCAACTGAGATTTGGTGATACGGGAGAAGCTGGAGACGATGAACGAGGCTACCACGCCCTTGAAACTGAAGTGTTATGGCACAAATTGAGAGTGTTGCAAGTTATACATGTCAGACAAGTACTAATGAAAGAAAGAGTGCATCAAAGCAAAAAATCAAACGTCTTTTAAATCTGTTAAGAAACTAGAATCTATGGTACTTAAGTATAAAATACCTTACTTGCGTAAATTGAACACAGCTGGCTTATGTAGTCGTTTTGGGAATTGAGTTTGAAGAAGGCAGGGAATTAATCCTCGTCTACGCCAGTCAGGTCTTTTTATGTAAAAAGAAATTTTAGCCTCGTCATTAACTGAGATGTACCGTGGTTTACGAGATAGCAATCAAAAAGGATAAAACTCATTATTGTTTTTTGATTGTTATATTGTTTTGGTATAACAAAAAAGAAAGGTACTTAGCTAAAAGAAAAAACTACGACTTTTTTATTAATATTATTTTTTTATTATTATTATTTTATTTATTTATTTGTAACGCAATAGTAAAAATACAAAAATTGTAAGATAAGTAAAAAAAAGGAGAAGTAGAGAAGAGACCTAATACAAACTATAAGAAGCTTAGGCCTCCTTGAACCGCGCTCTATAGCTGTTTACATCAAGTGATGCAAACTATGGCGCAAGGTCTAAGGCGGTGGAAATGATTTAAGATCATTTTTTATATTTACTTATTAATTTCATCTTTAGCATTGTCAAGTGAAACGTTTTTCCTTGAAAAAAAAAGGCTGAAGACTTTAATTACTGAACTCGTTTTGTGGTCTTTAAACTATTGTGTCTTCTCTGAGCTACACTTACTGAAAAAAGAAAATTGAAGCAGATGGATATGGATACTAACAAAATGTCATTCCATGTCAGTAATCTGATGTTAAACTAAGTCCGGTGCTCAGATTGACTGGCCTGGCTTTTTAGTTCTTAACTCAAGACGTAAAAGGAAGTAAAAGAAGTCAAATGATGGATCGAGTTCATAGAGTACGTGAACTTAATACCAGATGAAAATGAAAAAAATCGCATCATTTCTTTTTCGCACACAAAATGACATTTTAAGGCGTTATGATTTTACTTTCAACTAACCACCTACTGGATCAATTAAATATTGGCACTCACTGAGTTTTTAAATTTCAAAATGGCTGTAATTAAGTGGTAATTGAACTTCTTGTCGTGCAATTTTGGTCTGAAATCATGCTCGTGATTTCAAATCGAACTCTCGCTGCGCACTCGTCCGATTTTAAAATCACGCGTTTGGCGGATTTCAGACCAAATGCACTCCACTAACACGTTTTTTTTTCACTGTCACGCCATCAAAAATAAAAACAAAACGGTAAATTCCAGAATCTGAGAAATTAAATGAGGTTAATATAGAAAGACTCTCACCAAGATTCAGGTCAGTGTGATTTTTCATGTGAGAAACATTCCAAGAAATTGTTTACCCAAATTAATAGAGTTTCCTATATGGAGACGCCATGTTGGTGCCCATCCAGATGGGCACCAACAGAAACCAACAGAAACATCTGTCACTGACTTTTGCTAGGAAAACGTGAATTCATCTCTCAAGGAACTTATAAACATTTTAAAATTAATACCCTTCCTAATAAAATGACTGTTAAAACGGCAAAATCCCCCAAAATAAGTCACTTTTTTAACCTACATGACAGCTCTGTCGCCCGCCATCTGGATGCTGCGTCACGCAAAAGCTTAGAAATTCAAGCGTACTGTATCACAAAACGGAGAGCTTTTCGAAGTGAAAATCTGTGTAAATTTCATTTTTTTAACTGCTCTAGTACTTCATGAAAGTAAACAATTAAAAGGATCGATAGCCAAATGGGTCTAAAAAACGCAGCCCGCCCTAGCCGCCTGATTGGGCGTCGCCCAGATAAAATACGAGATAAACTCTATATGGAATAATTATTGTTAACAGGGCTGGGTCGCATTACCGTCTAATTTTTATTTTGGCTGGCTCAAAAAAAAAAAGTAACTCAACCGGAAACCAAAATCAAATTGACAACCTTAGGGTCGCATTTCAACCAGGTTAAAATAAAAAACGTCAATCACGCAGGCAATCTCACAGCCGGCAAATTAACATTCCCGCGAACTAACCATGCGGCCGAACAGGACACTTTGCATCGCGATTATAGTCCTGTTGTTTTCAGCTATTCAACAACAACAAAATCAACTGCTTGCTTTTGTTTTGCTGATGGAAAGATGGATAAATAGTTGCAACAGATTGCTTGCTGCTTCCTTGAGAGCACGAAATCGCCGTTTGCGGCAATTACGACGAGCGCCATACGCATGGTCACTTCCACGTCCCAATGAATCTTGGTTCGGAATACACTATCACGATCTCACCATCCCAGAAGATTTTTTTCGGCAGCAGCTGCGAATGAATAGAGCAACCTTCAATACGGTTCTTGACGTATTAGGTGCTAGAATTGTACGACAAAACTCACGATTTAGAACTTGTTTATCTCCTGCTAAAGTACTTGCTATTGGACTGTATCGTTTGGCTCATGGAAATTCCTATCTAACAATCGGCCCGACCTTCAATGTTGGCAAATCAACAGTAATAGAAGCTGTGCAAGATGTGGTGGGAGCTCTTTATGAACTTCGGGATGACCACATCAAATTTCCAGAGACCCTTGCAGAACTTAACGCATCAATACAATCGTTTGAAGAACTATCTGCCTTGCCAAACATTGTAGGTGCAATTGACGGTTCTCACGTAAGGATAAAAGCGCCATCGGACAGTGCTGCTGACTACTTTAGTAGATATCAGCAGCATGATTTTATTATACAAGCTGTCGTCAATGGGAAAAAAGTGTTCACAGATTTGCTTGCGGATTTCCTGGCAGTATGCACGATGCTCGCGTTTTGCGGGGAAGTGCTATCTTCAGAAGAGCAGAAGAGGGAGAGATTCTTACTGCGCCTACCGTAATTGTGGGTGGTAGAGAAATAACCCCTTATCTTGTTGGAGATAGTGCCTACCCTCTAAGTCCTTGGTTGATGAAGCCTTACCCCGAGGGAACAAGAGACCCACAAGAGATAACTTTCAATAAGGAGCTCTCTTCTGCCAGAGTACAAGTTGAATGTGCTTTTGGTATGTTGAAAAACCGTTGGAGGATCTTGCAGAAACGCTTTGACAGCGATATAGAATTCGCGATTAAAGCCACAATCGCCTGTGCAGTACTGCATAACATTTGTATCCGAAATAATGATGCCTGGGATGAGGATGATGACAATAATGACGACGACCCGGAGCCTGGAAACATATCGCCAAACAGAATACGAGATGGGGATGACATAAGAAATATACTCAAAGACTTTGTATCAAGTTAAATACTACAAGCTTTAAGTTGATTTTAAGACGGTTTTATTCAAGATTATAGGTTCTCATAAATGTTAAAATGATATCAAGGAAATTATAGTGTCGTGTCCGTATGAAAAAAGGTACAATGCAATGTACATCAGTTTATATTTCTTGTTACTGTTATCATCCACTTTTCCTTTTTTTTTCAATTAATAGAATCGACAATGTATATTTTCATTGCATACAGAAAAATATGAAATATAGAATTTTAATGGCAGTTATAAATTAATTTTCAGGAAAAGCTTAACTTGTATTTGACTTTTTTTCAGTTTATGAAATATATTGTTGTAGATCACATAATGCTGTTTCAGTTGTTATTGTTCTTCAAAAAATTGGTTAAAGCACCTACAAGAGCGTTCATCGTGTTTAACTGTTGTTCCTGTACCCGGTTAAAATTGGCCATAAATGAACTCATTTCTTTGCGCTGCTCATCCATGCCTGAAAATGCTGCTTTAAACATTTCCTTCTCCTCGTCGTTTTTTACTTCTTCCCTTGCTCTCTTCCTGCTCATTTTTCTTTGGGTTCTTTTCACTTTTTTGCTGTCTTCGCCTTCAGGGATCTCCTCTTCATTGTTTGCTTCCACAACGGCATAAACACCAGAGCTGGAACCAGCTTGAGCAACGTGACGGAGTGTCACGCCATCTCTGCAACCGAGAGTTTCGTCGATCTCCTCGTAGAAGATCGACTGTTTTCGATTTCCCCCGCTCTGGTTCCTGTTCCAATCTTTCGCAGCCTTGTAACGGTCGATCCAGTACTTCATTTTCTTTTGGCATTTGTCGCTAGTTTTCTTAGTACCACATTTGGCGCTCAGCTCACGTGCGATCCGTTCTCACACTTTTCTAGCGTCCTTGCTCTCTAGGTAATCGAAATTTTCTGCCCAAAGACGGACCAGCAGCGATTTCTCTTCCTCACTCCACTTTTCATATGACTTTTTTCCCGAGTTTCCACCTGTAGAAGCGGAATCTGGCGAGCCACTGGCGTTGCTTGTGCAGGGAGACTCGAATGCACTGGACTGGCTAGCTGACTGATTTTCAGGGTTCGCTGGTTCGGGCCCTATAAATTGCAGGAACGGTGGCGTGCCTCTAACGTCTTGCTGATGTGGATAAAAATCGTTAGCTGGCAGCGAATGACTGTAAAATCCTGGAAAATTTGTGTAGGGGAAGAACAAATCTCGCCCGTCCATAATTTTATGTACGCAAGGAACACGTCAGCGTGTAATGGAGAGATTTCCCGCTCTTTTTTATTTCTATCTTTTGACCTTTACGTCACACGCGAGCACAAAATGACAACTTTTGACAGCACCGGATGCGGTTCCCTTTGTTTGAAAAAAATTTGGCAAAATCGGCTAGCCCCACCCAAGCACACCGGCGTCTTTGATGGTTTTCTCAGATTTTGAAATTTTTTGAAAAACGCAAACGTTGGGTCGCATTAGAAAATGCGTGTGTTGACAGATTTTAATCCCTAGAGTAAACAAACCTCAACAAAAGCGGCCGTAATGCGACCCACGCCTTAGGTTATACTTAACTTATGGCATATTCTTACATAAGAGATAACATGCAACGTGACTTGAAGCTTTACACATGAATCGGCATGAAACACAAAAATCCTGGATCAATTTAGCTTTCTGGGAAACTGCCCACCTACCCCTCCCCTATGCTAACATTAGCACTTACTTTTTACTTAGGGCAAAATGATGGCTTAGGAGAGGGGTAGGTGTGCAGTTTCCCAGAAACCTAAAGTAACCCAAAATCCTATTTGTGCCAAATATTCAATCTATTAAATCTGTTGCCTTTTTCTAGTTTAGTGGCCGACCCATGGTGAAGGGATCGGAGGGTTCCCGACGATAATATATCCATTAGACAACTGCTTTGAACTGGGATAATTACTAGCGAACATGCTTGCATTTTTAAACATTGTAGCTTTAAAACTACACTTGTGTCGCACGTTTTAATAAAGGCACTTGTTGAAATTGACGAAATATGCATGGCCGTTGGGGGTTGGGGGGGGGAGCGCTCCTCTCCTCCAGAAAAGCAACTTCTGCGAACCGGAAGAAAGGGCAAACAATTTTCGTAACCTAACCCTTTTTGTTTCGTTGTGGACCAATCAAGTAATCCTTACCATAATCGATGTGATGTTGATAGGCTGTCAAACAATGATCAATTGTTTCGATTTCGAACGCTGACGTCATGCTAACTTATTAGCGATATATGGTTGCAATGGACACATCAGCTGACACATCAAGATTCCTGTGAGTAAAGATTTGCTTTCTTTTCCTTATCATTTATAGATACTTGAGCATAACTTACTTTGTAGGTATGCTATGTGGTTAACCCTTGTATTGCGTAAGGGGTCTGCAAAAATCAATAACCAGCTAAAGATTAAATGAATGAAGGGTACAACAATGATTGATGCAATTGTTCTACATAATTTTAAACTATTTTATTTAAATTGCGTAATTTCTACAAAAATTTCAGTCATTATATAATCTCCAAAATCATGATAACTGCATTCAGTTTCAACAGAATTATGGTGAATGTCCTCCTGATTATGATCAATATTTTATTTCACAGAAACTGAAATATCGAGTAAAAACGCCGAGCAGGCACAATATCGCGTCAATCGCCTCCTTCAAGCGTTAAGTCTCTTTCAGGTTTGTTTACAATTTTAAATTTTTTTCATCCTAAAGTATTTAAAATTCAAACTCTCAGAGAAGAATCAGACTTCAGTAGAGTTTTGCCCTGACGTGCTAAAACAACTCGACCCTGACCAGGACAACAACAACAACTTTATTTGTTCCCGACAGTATACAGAAATATGGCAGAGGAGCACAAGCTGCCCCAAATAACTATAGGAGCTAAAGATCTGTGGATCTGTTAATAAACCATTATTACTATTATTATTATTATTATTATTATTAACACCCAAACACAAAACACACGCCCACACATGCGCACTCAACACCAAAGCAAACAAAATAAAGAAAGTTAAGGATGTCAAAGTAGAAAAACAACCGAAAGCAGAAGAATTATGGCAATTATGGTGTTAAAATACTTTACAATGTTCAGTAGTTTTCAAGAAGAATTAGCTTGAGGTTTTTCTTAAAGCGTAGGAGAGGAAGAAGCTTTACATAAATAATGCAAGTTGAAGAGTGAAAAACATTTAGACCTGTAAATAAAGTACTTGAATGTTCATAAAGTGAAAGTAATTATTCTTAATAGAAATTATTCTTAAAAAGGCGAAAAAAAAAACTTAAGGCAAAAATTTAGGATACAGTTTTTATACATTTATAAAAAACACCAAACCTCATTACCACCAAGGTCCGGAAGGCATTAGATCCAGTTTCTATGTGGTTTGCGGCTTTTGATGAAACCCACTGCTCAGAACATTCTTGATAATCAAAATTACTGTTCCTAATAAGCTCTAAGGGGACCTAAAAGCTATCATGATGCTATTAAAGGCTGAGTTCTCATTGTATAACTTATTTTTGCATGGGCTCTAGAGAAAGTATAGAGTAAGTCATTCAGGTTCATAAGCGAATGATTTCGCCCGCCTGCGGCTAAAACTGGCTTTAATTTTCCAAATATTGTTGTGAAGATAGATAAAGATGTGTGGCCTCCAATATTGACCTCATGAATGGTTTGGCCCCACGATATATAAGCAATGCCACGTTTTACTGTTTTCTACGATATGCAGAAGATCAAGAGATCTAAGAGAGCGAATCCCCCATACATGACCCTCTTCCATGAAAATTATTTTCAATCTATTCTTGGTTCTATGTCATACTGCGTGGTAATTTTACGGACGCCACCTTACTGGTCGGTTAGAATGGCGTCATGTAATTTTAAACTTGGCGGGTAATTCATTTCACTGCCGATCACGCACGCCAAGCGCGTGCAAACTTTCGTACTTTCGTCGACGAGTCAAAAGATTTATACGTGGAATAATCTGGCCAGAGTAGCTGACGAAGACCAAAACGGTCCTGGCTTGTGGGAGTTCCCAGGGGCACCCAACGTAAATTTTCGGAAAATATCTGTTCGGAAGACGATTTGAGATCTAGAATTTTCGAAGCATTTGTTGTAAAATTTTTTGCTTGCCTACCTGTCCTAGGATTTTGGAACATCTAAAAAATGGTATAATTGAAACTTTTTAACGGATTTTTACCCTAAAATCGAAATCTGCTTAGCTGATGTTTTGATTCTCGGACAAGTCTCCCCTCCGGACATTTGTTTTATTTTCTTTCTTACCTAACTATTCATCTCTAAACGTGACATACCATAAAATTGCGAAAATAAGCCCCGGGTCTTATATTTTTCAAAGGCCCTTTTTGAGGGGCTTATTTTTGGACGGGCTTATATTCGGAGGGGCTTATGTACGGAGGGAAATTTGCGTTTCAAAATCGATTGGGCTAGCTTATAGTTGGAAGGAAATTGACCGTTTTTGCTTTGTTTTACTTTGTATTTGAGGGCAATTTCCAAGTACAAGCCCCCGGGGGGCGATTTCACGGAGGGTTTTTTGTGTTACGGATTTGGGGGGGGGGGTTATACATGAATGGGCTTATTTTCGGAAATTTACAGTAGTTTCAGCACGGGATTCAAATATGGCCGCATACCAGCAGTTTCAAAAGCGCATTTACTAGAATTTTGAATAAAGTATTTTATATATTATTATTTAATATATTATGGTCAAGTTTTTAGTCAGTGCCAGTAATGAAATAGGTAAAGTTTGGGAGGAGACGGAGGAGGAAAATCTAGTTCCTGTTGAAAAAATAGTCAAACGGATGGGAGAAGATTCAGGAAGAGGATCAGTAAAATTTGAAGAAGGCTTTCTCCCATTCACTCGAGCCTTCTTTAACCCCCTCTAAGTAATGATCGGTTTCTTAAAAACTTACTCACCGGCCGGGACTATCTATCCGGCCTTAACAAGCGATTTTCAAGGGCCTCTATACTAATAAGCCCAGACAACCGAGGTGGCTCGGTTTCCTAGATCTGGACACATTCATTTTCGATATATAGCCAGTTTCTGTAAAGTATTAGTCTCAATTGTGATATGTTAGCGTACATAGAATGTTTGTAACCCGGTTAACGATATTTACTGTTTCTTATGCAGCCTATTTGCCAAACGCAAGCGATCGTGGAACTGCGTTTCAGTTCAGTGAAAATCAAACAGCTACGCCAGTTTGGAAGGTTTTATCTTTTACGTGTCTCAACGTCGAAAAGAAGCCCTAAACGAATGCAGCTGTCCCTAATTGTTGGGATTGCCTTCGGCTTCTGATTAATTTCAGAATTGCCGATTTCCGGATGATCCGGATTTCCGGTTTTCCACATTTCCGCGTTTCAACATTTCCGGTTTACGTGTCACCCTGCATTTTGACCTTGCAGAGCCGGTTGAATAGAAGGTTTATTCGAGGTTGTAGCTCTGAAATCTCAATTTTCTGATCCGAAATGAGACCTGCCTAGTTGATCTTCTGATTCTCGAGCAAACTTTCACCTCTGAACGGTTGTTTTACCGAGCTATTTAGCTCGAAACGTGACACAGTTTCACCTGTTTTGAGCTTCGGATTGTTAGCATGGGATTCAAAAATGGCCGCATACCAGCAGTTCCTAAAGCACATTTACTGGAATTTTATGGAGTCCGGCATCTCAGGGATTGGAATATGGCTCAATTTGTGAGTCAGTGCCAGTAATGAATTAGGTAAGTCGTACTTTTGACAAAATCTGCTTGAGATAGACCCGTTACGCTAAATCTGAAAATATCGTATTA